CAACACAAACGGGCACCTTCTAAAGTTAGGCTAACAGGAGGTGCTGAGGTAGACTGGGCCCGGACAGCAATTAAAAACACTTTTTTTTTCAAAACTTTTTTTTTTAATACGAAGCAATGAACTGGCACTTTGGGCTGTCACAATGTTAAGAGACGAGCAAAAAACAAAAGAAAACAAAAACAAATTAATAATAATAAGCTTTAAATTTGCTTGGTCCAGAAGGACAACATTGGTCCTCAGTGCTATTTTTTTTTATCACATTTGGTCTTAGTTGTTTTTTTTTTTTATTCATTTATATATATATTTATAGATATATATATATATAGATTTATTTATTTATATATATGAACATAAACGTCATGAAGACTTCTAGCATGGCTTTCCCAGCCTTGAAAAGATCATGCACACTTCTTTAACATGAGGAGAAAGAAAAAGAAAAGAAAAAAACAATGACCGAGACGCCTGCCAACCGAATGGCACTCAAGAGCTCAAGGATGTCATGGCGCAAGTGCTTACACTCCCAAGTTTTCCAGGTTCAGGATTGGGTCCAGGGGGGGAAAAGGTCTGGTTCCATTCCCTCCGCCCCACAAAAGCTGTCTTGTGCTGGTGGGTTGCTGAGTGAAATAACCTGGCTGGTCATGAAAAGTGAATAGTGAGATTTTTAGATGGAACAGGCTGGCTGGCGTGGAGGAAGAACGTTGAAGGAAGCTCTCTCTCATCCTAACCTTCTCCTCCTCCGTGACTGCGTTGGTGTTTAGCAAGGGTAGGAACGATGCAAACAAGAACCTTCGGGGTTCTACATTCTGAAACCTGCAGGAAACCAGAGGCTTTGAACTGGGAGGAGATGGAAGTTCCATTTCCAGGGGGACGGAAAGAAGTCAACGAAGCACACGATGACGTCTCTTTTCTAGGAAGTCCAACCTATTCCCCCAAAGTACTAAATAATTAAGTATGCCTTGCCATTTCCCCCTCCTTTTTAAACGTGGAAAACAGACAAATGTGCCTCTCCCCCCAAGCACAAAGCTAAAACAAGCGGTTTCTCCAAGTTCTGTTGAGGATGGTACAAAATCAATGTTTGTTTTGCTTCCTACCACGAAGCAGCAAAAAAAGAGAAAGAAAGACAGAGAGAAAGCGAGGGGGGGGAAGTACATTTCTCTTGCATACAATCACACTCAAACACACATTTGCTGTGTTATGTATACAACACATCTTAACGCTTTCCGGTTTTTGAACTTTATTCCTCAAGTCACCATGAGAGACAGCCTGGAACGCATCTTAGTAAAGGGACTCTGTGCAGAAAATAAAAGCGGTATGTGGCCGAGCCAGAGTTGTCGGTCTGCAGGCGGGCAAAGCTGGAATAGAATTCAGTAAGGCATTTACAACTCAGTACCATAAACAATTCTCAAAATGGTGACTGAAAGTGGGTGTTATCCATGGACAAACAAAACAAAAGTGTGAACCGGCAACCCTACAGACTGCCTCGTAAAAAGCCAAGGGTACTTGAAAGTGGGGAAACCAGTCCTTCAAACCCCCCACGCCAGAATTCAAACCTGGTTTTGTGCAATCTCAAGCCTTCAAGCAAACGATGTGCTCTTTATTCAGCACTCAATGTGTTGCTCCTCCATATGGCTAGCGACAGAATGCAAGATCATCAAGTTCCACAAACATTCGTGATGTCGCCAGAGGTTGGGGTGATCCTCCCCTACCTTCAAAAACCAGATGTGTCCAACTTTTTCTGCAGCCTTCCTGAAAGTCCCACCAGAAGTGGGAAGAGCCACCTCAGAGTGGGCAAACGCATCCTCCGCCATGGTGCCAATATGGGAGTCAACTCATTGAAAGCTATACCTACTGTTCTCTTCCACTCCAGACTTACGTCCCTGGAAACGGGAAAGCTTACAGAGGCTAACCAACAGCTTCAACGCATTTTTCCCCAAGTGTGCTTCGGAAGCTGCAGTTTCACCCTGATTTAATACCATCCTAGGTGGCAATACTGGAATACAACAATACTGCATGATTTATTTAATACTATTGCTCTCTCTCTCTCTCTTTTCTCTCTCACACATTTGCTCAAACCGATTCCCGTTCACATTACAAAAGGAAGGGGGAGAAAGGGGGACAACCATCCCATCAAAAACGGACACCGGGACTAACAAACGTTTCAAAAAATATCACACTTTGCAAATAATTTATCAGTCCAACACTGGGGGGGGGGAGGGGGGGAGGAGCGAGGGGAGGCTGCTCTGACGAGCAGCCATTTTGAAGACAAGCACAATTCAACCACATAAAGGGCACAACAACTGCAGTCAAACAGCCTTCTCTGGCAAGTGGGGCATTGGTATGCTTACTGCATAATTCTCTCGAAAAGGTCTGCTTTCAACGACACCATATTTTTCTTCACATTATAAACAATACTCTACTTAACTATTCACATATTCAAGTTTAACTGTTTCTCTTGTTTTTTTTTCCCTTTACCAAATTGTTAATTTTTCACTAAACGGACAACTCTCTCGACTTCTTACAGTGAGATATACTCTCTCCTTCTCTCTCCCTCCCCCCCTCTCTTCCCCCACCCCAGACCCCCTCAAGTTTAAGGCTTTCCATATTTACCAATAGTTGAGACAGGGACTTGGGGGGGGGGATCAAGAGGTTGGACAACAGTACAGACACACCCTTTAAAATTCCCTTTTTCTCCCACCTACAGCCACAATGCTTCTCTAAGACACCCTCCCCATATATATATAAATGTAGCTAAATTACAAAATAAAATGTACATTTGCAAACATAAAGCATGAGATGAAGATTGAAATGAACATCACAAAGCAAAACCAAACCAAACCAAGAAAGATACAAAACCCCTTTCCCAACAAATATTGCAAAACTGTGCTTCGTTAATGGCAAAACAGACAAACAAACAAAAAAAAACACAACACATCCAAACCAACTTAAAAAGAGGTAGCTTTTAAGATAATATGGCCCAGTTTCCATCCTGCGGGCCATTAAAACAAAACACCCATTTTGGTAATAATAATAATAATGCACAATATGAACCAAAGAATAAGGCTGACATGCAAACCAGTGGCTGTGGCGCTATGGCAGCTGTGCGGCAGCACTTTGGCGCTACGTGCAAACGCCCTCTCCTGCCCTGGGATGCAGCGATCAAGCCGAACACACCCAACCCACCCCACAGCCTAGACAAACAAGCGCATGAGGTCACAAGGAAACCGAGGTAATTTCAAGTACAATGTGCGAAATGCAAACAAAACGAAACCGAAAACATTCAACATCAAATAAAATTTAAGAAAGCAAAGACAACGGAAAGACACCTTGTCGCTCGAATCCGTTTGCGGAGAGAAGACCTGGCAGGGAAACGGAGTGGGCACCATGTCCCAGAGGCAGGGGCGATGGAAGGAGGAAGTCCCTCCCGCTTGGGAATAGGGTGGCCAATCTCACAATTGGGCACGGCTGCGAGAAAGTGGCCAGTGTATAAAGGGAAGTGTAAGAAGGGAAAAGGAAAGGAAGGAGCCAAGTCAGAAAGAGACACAACCCAAGTGTGGATGATCAGTTCTAAGTTGAAATTTCTCATCTTACTGATCTCTCTCTCTCTCTCTGTGTGTGTGTGTGTGTGTGTGCTGACTGAGAACAACTGTCCCTCTGACATGAAGGCAAGCCACCCATGGGGCTCAAGAGCTTTCTTCCGATGTCCCCCTGAATGGCTACAGGAAGCCCAAGGAAACCTGCCCTTATGGGATCGCGGAGGGAACGAAAAAATGCGATGGGAAGAATTCCAAAATCCATATTCTGATGACATTTCTATGGTGCGAACCAAAAAGAAATGGAAAACTACAGGGCAGCTTTCTGATCTTTTCCTTGGGAAAAGTGTTATTAAAAGAAGGGACACTTTTGGTACCTTTTTTGTTAGCTCAGTTATGTTATCACAACTTGGATTCTGGAAATGGCGACCTCTGTTTCTTTCAGGATTTGGAGCCTACCAGAAAATGCACAGGGATTTATCAATGCAAGGACACAAACACACACTCGTGGCCTCCATGTTGCTGACACAAGACCTTCTCTCTTCCCATAGACATTGAAGCCATTGGAGTGGGGTGGGGGTTGGACTACAACTTCCAGAATGCTGGCTGGAGAATCGTGAGAACTGTTGTCCAAAATTAATCCTTCTGAGGTCTGAGAAGGGCAATGGGTCAGTCTGAGGTTTTTAGTTTTCAGACCAGGGGAGTCACATGGGGACTGCACAGCTTCCCATAGAAGAAGGATGTTCCTGTGGACTGTGGCACCAGGAGAAGACACAGAGTTAATTTATTTGCAGGAGGAAACTGTGTACTGAATGCACATTCGCTTCTAGGAAGGATGGTGCCCGCACACTGCCAGAATGCTAGTCTGCTAGTTACTTTCTGGGGCTACAACACCCATGTTCCTCCACAGAAGCCAAGGGTCTTGTGGCACCTCAATAATGGACAAGTTGCATTTGGAACAAACCTTTGTGGAGGGCCGGTCATGGCTTCAGATGCTTCTGAAGAAGCTGACTACAGCTCCTTCATAATGTATGCCTTTAAGATGCCACAAGAGCCTTCGCTGGTTTTGTGGCAACAAGCCAACACCACAACTCCTCTGAAAGGTAGTAGACCGAAACATTCATTTCTCTCCCAACTTTTTTGGGGCCCTACGCATTGCATCAAACAATAGACTCAGGACATCCATCCAGGATGCCCAGGACTCCGGCACTGCCAACGGAAGGCAACAACAAAGAAGCACGGAGCCTTCTGAAGGTGACGGCTAGGAAGTACCACCCTCAGTGCCACCAAGCAGGTCCTACCCTCTTTTGTGCTCACCAAGCGTGTGAAATAGGGTGCCCCCTTGGGTGGCCAGAATGGAGCCAGGGACATAATTGAATACATCAAGGAACCGAGGACAGACTGAGGGGGGAAAATGGGAAACGAGTGAATGTGGGCTAATCTCCCAGAGCTTTGAGGACAGACCGAGGGAAAAAAAATGGGAAATGAGTGAATGTGGGCTAATCTCCCAGAGCTTTTCAGTCCATGACACCCTTCTGGTGCCCATGTTATCTGTGGGATTCTGCAATCGGTAGTCCCAGAAAAAAAAAAGTTTTCCGAGATCTGTGCAGCTTCCTGTTCACCAAGGAGCCCTGGGCTCACTGGGTTATTCTTACTAGAAAGGGTTGGGTTTTCTCCAAGCTTCTTCTGTTTCTCACATCACCTGGGAGGGGCTGGGCAGAAATTCTGATTTTATGCTCTCCTCCGAGATGGTGGACCACTTGGATGAACCGGTGTGCAAAGGTGGGTGGTTCCTCCCTTGTCCCTCTCATCTGAGCTGACCTCCACTTACCTCCCCACACACTTCCCTAATAAAAATAAAATGAATAGGATGGTCTTTGGTCAGGAGAGAGAAAGGACTGTGGCTGAAAGGAGATGCCTACAGGGGAGCTGGGTTCTTCTTGTCAACTCAAAGCCAGGCTTTTCTGTGGGCAGCCCCTTTCACCTGAGGATCAGGGTGGGTGAACTCTGTCAGGTCTCAAGACACATAATGGAAGCCGTGTCCAGGTTTGAGAAATGGAGAGTTTCGGGTGTCGAGTGGGGCAAGTGAACCCTGTGACTTCTTTAAAAGGTAAATGACATTCCTAGAGGTGTCCAGCAATCGTAACCAAATGAGGACCAGGGAGAGCTGAGTCGGAAACTACGCGTGGCACCAGGGCCACACTCTTACATGCCTTAATAACACAACTGTGGTGAAGCTTTAGGCCAAACTTGGAGAAGACAAGAAGGAAGGGGCCTCTATGTTGGCATCCATGCTCCTGCATGGCCCACAGCTTGGAAAGGATGACCTTCCAAGATGCCCCACCCATGGCCAAAGTCAGCCCCAGATCTTGATCACTCACTCAGCCTGCAGCAAAAGGGCCTCCTGAGAAGGACACCCCATGAGGCCTCCTGGGGAAAGCTAGGGGCACAAACACCAGGCTCCAAGGACCATCAGCTCCCACGGGCTCCCACAGACAGATTCCTCCATGGCACTTCCAGCTCTCCTAAGGGGTGCCCCTTCCCCAACTTTCTAGAGGCCTCAGCTCTTCACAACAATGTGTTCTCACCCTAGGGAATGGCTTGGAGCGGCTGGTGGGCTCGTCCGTCACAGTGGGAGGCGGACAAAAGCTTTGGGGGAAGGCGCATGCTCCACAGAGAAGCCCCTTCCAACTGGCACTCCCAAGGATCACAAGGTGGGATGGGTTGGGATCTAAACAAGGGCCAGGTACTGACCTCTCCAGGCCCTCCTTTGTGTAGGGACTAGGAAAGGAGGACACATCTCTCTACGTCCCTCCCCAAATGTCCTAACAGAGAATGTGTACAGTGGACGGTGTCCAGAGATGATTCTGTGAACGTGCGAAGGTCAGACTAGTTTCCTTGTAGCAGAGATGATGATGGGCAGGGGGTGACCTGTGTACTCTCATCACCATCACAAATATAGCCCTGTCCATGGCCATGGGAGCTGGTACAGCAGGACAAACAACATCTGCCAGGGGACTTTTGGGGTCCTGGAAACATCGCAGCTCCTAAGGTTCCTTGGGGGAAACCATGGCACCAGAAAAAGGAGAAGACCTGGCTGCCACTTGCAACATGGAAGAAGCTGAAGCCAAAGCTGCCTGGCAGCTGAGCCCTCCAGCTGTGCCAGGCCTTCTGTCCCTCAGGTCCAGATGTGGACGGAGACACGGACGCAAAGCGGTAGGGGATTAACTCACAGCTTAACCTCAGTCAAGGGCTGGACAGTGGCCTATTCTTGTGGCGCTCAGGGCTAGAGGACTCCAAACCGTCCCCCCTTCCTGCCTTGGTTCCCCTTCAACATTATCACAAACCCCTTGAAGAGCTGGGAAGAAGGCGGGCAGCAAAGCCTAGTGGTGGAAGCAGAATTGGAGGGAGGAGGGAGGAAAGAAAGGGAGCCAAACGGAAGAGGAAGAGAAACGGAGCCCAAGAGGGTTCAGAGGAGGGGGTTTGCCCAGTCCTTCCCAACCATCTCCTTTCCCTGCTCCCCCTTGTCCGTTCTAGACATAGCAGAGGTACAGGTAGGTCTTCTCTATCCTCCAGTCGGCGGGGATCTCTTCTGGCTTGTGGCCCTTCATGTGCTTCTGCATGGCGGAAAGACTTGGGCAGTACTCCAGGCAGATGGTGCACTGGTAGGGGGAAGCGCCGTTGTGGGTCCTGAGGTGCTTGATCATGGCAGAGTAGTCTCGGGACCGCTGGTGGCACAACTTGCACTCAAAGGGCTTCTCGCCTGCAGGAGGGGAAGGGGACGGGAGAGAGAGAGCGAGAGAGAGGAGCCAAAAGTCAGAATCACCGGGGTGGGGAGAGGTACGTTTGCCAGCCGTCGGGGGTGGGCAGCTCCCAAAACAGGCAGAGGGCCCACCTGGACTGAGGGAGCGATGGCTGTTCTTCAACAAGGCAGAAGCAGGGCTGGGTGTGTGTGTGCATGATTAAAAAGCATCCCTCGATTCTGTGCTGTGGGAAACCATAAATCCAATGAGAAACAAGGCCAAATTCTGCAATGAATTAAACCAATTTATGTCCTGCATTTTGCATAATTGATTCCGGACTTGACTGTCATGGGAAGCAGGGAAATTAGGTGGAATACTGGAGACCCTCCCGCTGCTCTAAACTTATTCCTCTCCCCAGCCCTAATTTATGCACTTTCAAAAGGCACGATTCGTCTTTCAAACCATGAGGGCTAACAGCTTAGAAGAAGAAGAAGAAAAAATGAGCCAAGATTTTTCTATTATTCTGGTCATAACCTCATTCCAAAGCGAGGCTGGAATTACTTCACACACAGACCTGTGACTAAATACAATAAACATAAATGATCAAGCCATTCAAGTCTTTTTCTCCCTTCTCCCGGCAATGAACTTGTGGTGTCCTTCTGGAAGCTTCCCAGGTGGGCTAACCCCGTTGCCAGCAATCTACCTGCTGAGTAAGACCGCCTTTCCCACAGAATTATTTTTGAGACTGCAGGATAGCTTTAGCGAAGGAAAACCAGGGATGGGGAGAGATTTTGTTTCAACCCATTAATTAACCGCCCCAGTCTCCCTATTGATACCTGCTTTGCGCGCAGACAGAGCGAATAATGAAGCCATGAGCAACAAAAGTGATCTAAATATTGATCCTTTATTTACAATAGTCGCGTGCTACCTATGGGCTTGCTGATTAGCTGGGTGCCAGAGAGAAAGCTGGAGGTTGGGGAAGGGGGTCAGGATTGCCTCTCCGAAACATCCCCAGTTGACCTTTGGTGGGCAGCTTCTTTCTATGTCCTTCCCAGGCCTGCTACCTGAGAGGTTTTTCAAAGTGAGGAAGAGGAGGGTGCGATCCAGGCCCTGCTAGACGCACAAGCCCCACCGTGTCCCAAGGCCTCTGGTCCTTACCTGTGTGGACCCTATAGTGTGTCTCCAGCTGATGCTTGAGGCTGAACTTCTTCCCACACCCGTTGCATTCATAGGGCTTCTCTCCAGTGTGGATGCGTTTGTGGCCCTTCAAAGTGCTCTCATCCCGGAAGCAGCTGCCACAAAATTCACACTCGTACGGGTGGTCGCCTGTAACCAAGAGGGGGCCGTCAGAGAAAAATAGGTCTCACACAAGTCAGGTAGCCGTCGGTAGAAAACAAAATGCCAGGGGAAGCATCCTGCTTCTGGCTGTTGGTGAGAGCTCGTGTGTCCCATCATCAGATGGCTTAGGGTCAAAGTATGTATCAGAGATTTGACCCAGCTCTGGGAGGCAGTGGAAGACAGGAGGGCCTGGCATGCTCTGGTCCATGAAGAGTCGGACACGACTTTGTGACTAAACAAAAACAACACGTAAGACGATGCATCATTAGCTAAGGGAATTCTTAAGGGCTGGCGCTCACAGCACAGGTGCTTCACAACTCTTCTAGTGTGAAAACTGGCCTGGTTTGCTCTGTGATTGGTCATTGGAAAGGAAACATGCACTTCATTTGCAAGTACAATTGCTCAGGCATGAAGGTCTGCTCGGGTCACGTCTCTAGACCCAATCGTTTTCCAGTTGTTGAATAAGTCCTCTGTCACATACAAGGCCGAACTAGATGTTATAGACAGGAAGTCATTCAATGAATGATTTCCTTAGATGTTTGAGAGATGTCTCTCGCAAGCGTTTTCAACTCCCTATTTGCAAATTAGCTTTCTTTATTTGGTAACTGCTCATTGGGAGATACATGCAGGGCTTTGTCTACCCTTCTGATTTCTCAGGCAAAAAGTTCAGGAGCATTATGTTCATTTCTGGCGACATACTACATACGTCATCAACTCTGACCCAAATCTCGACCCTTAGTTTATGCCGATCTGGGGTTTCAGCACCTAGGATAGCTCCAATCAGACAATATGGTCTTAGGAGCATCTCCTTACAGGAGGGAAACCTTTCTGTGTTGAGTGAGTTGGATGACCCTTCGTAGCCCCATTCCTTCAAGGTTCCACCTCAGTCTCTCTGTGCTAAGCAAACATCTGCAGTGGGAGCCAGCTGCTGCCTGCATAAGTTCCTCTATGTGGTCTGGAGCTTTGCAAGAGCATAGGGAGGATATCCCACACAAGGAAGCAAGGGTACTGGGGAGGGGTAATCTTTCTCAGAAAAGGTCGTCCTTGGGCATCTTGTTTTTTTGGACTTTAGCTCACAGCTTTGAAAATCAACTGTTTCTAGGACAGCTCTCAGAATCTTCCAGTCCACCAGTATCCCTTATCATGGCTAAATATACCCAACCCTTCCATTCCCCCCCCCAACTCCAGAACACAACTTCATGCCACCCATAACTGAGCCTAAATGGAGCCCTCTCCAATGGAACAGATACACATTCACACCCTCTGGCAGTGTTGTTGCATATGTCAACCCTTCCCAATTACAAAAAGAGAGAGCGAAGGGAAAGAGAAACTCAACATGTTGTTCACCATTTTACCGTACTTGGCACTGAAAAGATTTGCTGCCAAAACTATGCCCAAAAGTGACAATGATTTGTCACTTTTCATAGTAAAGCCAAAGCACATCAAAATCCTTCATCTTCATCATTACAGCTTCCTTCTCTGTGGATCAGACGCTGGCTGATTCTTACACTCGTCGCCTTCAATCTGATGCCCTCAAGAAGTTGGAAAGCTTGGCTACATAAATTTTTTAAAAATTAAATCTGCATGCTAGCTAGTTTGAAACCTCTTAGAGTTACTATTTTACATTCAAGTTTTTTCCCCCTTGAACTGAATTCTCTCTCGTTTTTTAAAGCATGCGGTTCCAAAATTCTCTCCAGTTGAAGGAGCTGTGTTTCAAACTGCCTACAAGGGCCACAATCCTACCCTTGCTGAAATAACTCAAGGAGCATAAATCTTGTGGTGCAGGCATTTGCTGTTGAAGGTTGTGTCATTCAGACGTCTTAACTTACAGCCTTTCATGGTGGAGATTCATGCCCACCGAGTTACATCAGCAAAAATACTTGATAGGATTCTGGCCATTCTGGAATAATAAATATAGAGGCAGGTGCTCAGGAAAAGACTGACTGCTTCCTCCAAGTTGCTGAAGAGAGATGAGGAATGCTCGGTGGAGCGAGGCCCTGCTGATGGCAAGGAGACAGCCAGGAGCCTTGTTACTCAAGAGGGGTCTTCTCTGGCAGGTACTTAACAGCGACACCTATGAAAATGAAACGAGAAAGACATGTCCTGTCCCTCTCCATCAAGGTTCTCACTTTCTTCCTGGACATCTTTTTAGGTGTGTCAGAGACCATGTTTTCATGGAAACGCAGCCCATGGAAGCAGATATACTGACTAACAAGTTCTTCACAGCAAGACTGTTGCTTCAAATATATACCTTTCTTTTGGGCCACACGCCACAAAAGTTTATCTCCAATAAAACATGTCTTTACAATTCTGCAAGATTTTTGGCTCTCAAAGAGGATTATGTCATTTTATAGCTTTCCATGAATTCCTCTCTCAGTATCCGTCTCTGAAGGAGCTCCCCCCCCCCTGTGTGAGGGAGGAGATGCCCGCTTGGTGCTTGGTGGCCTGGCTTCATGAAGTGGGTCACCTCACACCGAAGCAACAGCTCATCCTCAGATGTACAATTGAATCAAGATGCTTTCCCTGTTAACCACCAGCACTCCGAGACACGAGGAAGAAGGAAAATGTATTTTTTAAAAAAATTCCTGTGTTTCCACTTCCTTCAACTTGGAAAGCGGAAAAAAAAACAACAACTGCTATTGGAATTCACTTATGCCAAAAAGAGGGAAATTCTGCAGCATGTACAGGAAACCTTGGCTTGTTCTGAGAGCAAATCATAGCCCAGCAGGCCATTTTTGGGGAATCTGGTGGCCCAGGAGAAGTCAGGCACAATCCACTGGGGAACAGAGGTAGAGAAAGACCCAGTTCTCTGGCTTATATCAATGGGACTTGTGCGGACACCTCTACATGCGATCAAGTCTTCCCACCTCTGGTACTTTTAGACCAAGGAACACCGATGATCCCTAGATTTTGGCAAACGGCTTAACTAATCTCTTTTTGCTTTTTGTCTCGACACCCCCACCAGAACCCCCCAGGAAAAAGTGAAGGGCTTGCAGCCCTCCCTTCCTTTTTCTTTAAAAAAACAACCAAAATTATTACAGCAGCCCAATGGAAGGACAATAAAGATAGATTGATCGCCCAAGACTTTGTTCATGAATATTTAAATATTGCTGATTTGTCTTGTCAGTGTAATTACAATCTTCTCTGGGCCCGGCGGATCCGACGACCACAACTTTATGGTAAAGAATGGCCCCACTGTATTTCACTTGTCCCGCTGCAGATGTGCGGAGCCGCCAAGCGTGTAATGCCGCTCGCATTTCATACATTTTCCTCAGCTGCTGAAGGCTTAAGTCATCCACAATGACCTACGCTTTTTCATTATCCCCATGTCAAACCAAACTCGTGCCTCAGCATAAATTGTCCTTCTTGTTATAGACTCGCAGGCTGATGCCTCCACTTCCTCTTTACAATGATATTTTACTCTCTTGCTTTCCTCGTCCCCCCCCCGCTGTTTCCTCCCCTCTCCCCCCTCAAAGGGCAGAAATCCCTCCCTCTTCTAAATACAGACCCTCACGGCATCCATTCCCATTTTTCCAAGCACGCTGAAAGCCTCGGGGGGGGGGTTCCCTCCCCCTCAAAATGTCTTGTGCAAAACTCACAGGCACCAAACTTCTTGAGGTGCAGAGTTGGGCGGGGGGCTGAGAGACACCCCATCCACCCACCCCAAAAGAAAAGGCTCGCCTCTAGAAGCTGAGGGCCTACGTTTTTGACCGTTTGGGATGCCCGCCCCAAACTAGTCTGACTTCCACACGTTGCCCTTCCTCTCTGGAGTTTGGACCTTGAGCGAGTGTTCAGCCTTTGTGTAACAAAGTCTGAAGAAGTCCCCTCTTCTCCACCCGAGTGCCAGGCATTGTAGTGAAAACATGGTGGGAGCAGGACAAAGAGGGTCTTTCTCAGAGCTGCTGAGACAGATTAAGATCCTCTAAACCAGTGGTCTCCAACCTTGGGCCTCCAGATGTTCTTGGACTTCAAACTCCCAGAAATCCTGGCCGGCAGAGGTGGTGGTGAAGGCTTCTGGGAGTTGTAGTCCAAGAACATCCGGAGGCCCAAGGTTGGAGACCACTGCTCTAAAGTACAGCCTGGCCTCTGAAAGACTAAGTTTCAAGCCTGGGGAAAAACTCAGACTCATTGTCTCCACTAGAAGCTGAAGGAACATGCAAAGGAAGAGTGCCACAAGTGGAATTATGGACTTTGCCTGTTTTAAGCCACAGGGGAGACCTGGAGGAATGACTGCGGTTTACCAGCAAGTTCTTGCTTAGTTACCTGTAGAGAAGAAAACTCATCTTCAGAAGACCAAGAGGGAAGATTTCGAGGCTGGAGAAGTAGCTGGTTCTTCCCTGTTTTCTTTATATATATTGTTCCAATCACCCAAATCCTGTGGGTCAGCCCTGCTAAGTCAATGCACCATGCTGGCTTTCATATACAGTATATATATATATATAGTCTTGGACAGTCTTAGGGCCTCTGTGAGGGCCAGCGTGGTGCACTGACCTAGCAGGGCTGACCCAGAGGATTTGGGTGATTGGAACGACAGAAGAAAAAACAGGGTTCTCCTCCCTTCCCTGCCTCAACCCAACTGGACAGCCTGGGGATAGCATGCTCATTGCCCCAGATGGGAAAAAAAAGTATACGGGCAAGTCACACTTTATGCCCTTCAGTTCCCCCATTTCTAAAAGAGTGTGTGTGTAAAATGGGAGGTTCGGGAAAGCCAGTGTGTGGACACACAAAAGGTGTGAAGGACTCTGGCCTAGATGTACCCCTAAATGTGTGTAGGAAGAATCCTTGAGATCCAGTCTTTCCTGCTTTCACAGGACAAGATCTAAGGGATCAGTGGGAATCCGGTGAATTGGTGTTTGACAGAAATTCTACCGAACCAGTCTGTTTGGTGGCCAGAGTTGGATTTAGGCCATATTGTTCATATCATGTCCTTAAATATTTTACTCTTTGGGGGGGGGGAACACACACACATCCCCTCTTCCACATACACTCAAACTATGTCAGGAGTGACAATAGTTTTATCAAATTAATTTTTCAAAAGGCGCGATGTGTGAGGCCTCATAGTGATCAGCTGCATGATTTGCATCTTTCAACTGCATTTCTTTCTTTCTTTCTTTCTTTCTTTCTTTCTTTCTTTTTGCAAGGGCAAACCAGAGAGTCGTCTTGGAGCGACGGATGCAAAAAACAGGCTCGCAGACCGAGAAATCAAAAATACATGCACAAAAAAACCACACGTGGCTGACATCCACGTCCATCCAGTCGATTCACTTTGCAAGGTCTCTTAATGAGGCTGACATGAAGTCGAGGACAAACGGGACTAATTAAGGCCCCCACTGGCCGGCCAGCTGCACCTGTGACCCAGTCACTCCCTCGTTACCTGGTGTGCCCGTTTACCAGCTGAGCAGCCGATCCGATGGCTTCTAGGCCACCTCGCCCGGCACGGCAAAAGGTTTTATTATACAGCCAGCCGAGTAAATCAGGGATCTGTCAGCGCCAGCAGCTCCGTTGGCCTGCAAAGGAACACAGCTGCGGATGCTAAACAGGCAGCCCTGGAAGCAAATGGGGTTGGGAGGATGGAATATTAATGAGACCAAGCTGGAGAGAGGCTGGGGACGACAGAGGGTGAGCGGGTCGAGAGAGCCCAACCTTGATGGCACAGGAGCCGCGAGTGGGACAGGCGCACATGGGAGCCCATTGGGCTGCTTTCTTGAAAGGGGAAGGTTTGGCCTTAAGCCAAACCCCACATCTTCAAGGAAACACAAATGCAAAATGTGCGTGTGCATGTTATCCTACCGGGTGATGCAGAGTCTATGAGAACTCCACCAAGTTTAGTTGGGACTCTTGTGACCTGCACAAGGTTTGCCAGTGTGCAAAGGATACAGCGGGGGACATTTCGGGGTATGAATGCTAACCTCTCTCCCTCTCTGTGTTTCTCTATTTCTCTCCCTCTCACACACAAACATGGCCATGTTGCGGCCATGCTGGCTGGGGAACGTTCTGGGTGCTGGAATACCAAGGAAAAGGTCCCCAGGCTCTGATCAAAGCCACGTGCCACCACCCAAGAATTAGCAGAAGACCCCCTACGTGTGTATACAGTGATGTAGGGGAGCAGTGCAATGCTAGTTCATAAGAACATCAGACAGGCTCATTTTCTATCCCAGCTGGATATTTCTGTGGTGCTCAGAGAAGAAGAGAATCTCAAGGAAGCCTCTCCCTCCAATGTTGGCTGTCCCTAGCCTCCAATATTGACAGGTAGACTGCTTCTAGGCAAGGCAGTCTTTCATGGCTAGGAGTCACCTCCATTCATTTGCCTAGCTGCCCACGGTTCCTGCCCCCTTTTCAAAAAGGCACACAAATCACTCGCCACCATCCACCCCACAGGGTCGCTAATATCTTGTCTGCCTACAGCTCAAGTCAAGCTTGTGGCCAAGTCAACCGGAACCCTACGGCTTCAAAGACAAAGGAAGTCAAATCTCTGGAAATGAGACTATCCACAGATCCACCCAGATGACAGGCCATCTTTCCTCAATTTGGACCCCTCTAGTTGGGTTCCACTACATCTCCCATCATTCCAGTTAAGAATGCTGACTGGGGCAGATGGGAGATGTAGTTGTATAGTCCTTGAAGGCAACGGGTTCTCCTAAATGCATCGCGCAGCCCATTCCCAGTCCCTCAACTCAGAATGTCCGTCCTTTCCCCAGCGTTTGGAACTTAAATGAATAGAGAGAGAGGGGAAAAAAACCTCACGTCCGCTGGGGGATTAACAGCATTACCCCACGTCCAGCCTAACCCAGCTTTCCACATGCGTTCCCTTATGCAATTTAAATCCCACACACATGTAGCACAGGTTGCAATAATCCCATTTAAATGGCTGTAGGAGTACGGACACATGCGGAGGAAGGAAACGGCCCCACGAGCAAGATCCAGCCGCTTAAGGAGATGAACTGCAGTCACTTGTCCACTTATTAAGGTCATATGAGACTGTCGGACGGGAGGCTGGCCTCCCACCTCTCTTCCTCTGTCCTCAGATGTTCAGAACCAGATAAAGAGCCATCAGATCGCACCTTCGAAGGCAGGTTGGCAAGGGCGCCTCTTGGAGGCCCGTCTCCACCTCAAGAGAGAGGTGGAAGCATCTGGGGACCTTTGCACTCCTGACTGTAAGTAGAGCCAAAGGAAGGCCATGCCTGTAGAATCACTGAATTGCACCTCGGATTGATGACCAGCCAACCTCTCTTTAGAAAACCCCCACAAACACCCTCAAACACCATGCCCACGGTCACTGCCCTTATCACCTGTATGTACTTGGCTCCATCCTTCCTCCCCTCTAAACTGAACTACTTACCTGTATGGGAGCGGAGGTGCCTCTTGAGGGCTGTGTGGCTAGGGAAAGTGCGGTTGCACTCGCTGCAAATATAGCTGCGGACTCCGGCGTGCACCTCCATGTGTTGCTGCAGAGCGGTCTGTGTCTGGAACCGTTTCCCGCACAGAAGGCAGAACACTGCCATGTCAGAGCCTGAGGGAGGAAGGAGAAGAGTTCCTGTCAACTCTGCTTCGTCTCAATGGCCTTGCCACGCTCCTCTGTTGTACCCTGGAATATAACCGTTTCGGTCCTGGGAGCTGGAAAAGAACACCATGCTTAGATGGAACCTGGAGTGGGATGCTGGTTCCTCGGAGATCTCAGGCCACAACAGGACAATCAGAAGAAGATGTTTTCCTAGGACAAAATGACCCCCTCTTTATCTGCATTTGGAAAAATTAATTTACTTTTGTGTTGCAATTCGTCCGTTGGTAGACAGTCTGAAAGGTTTGCGTGCCTAGAGGGAAAACTACGCGGAAAGATGACACGTTATGCCTTTGCTTCAGTATACATCAAATGAATGGGTGTTCTGACCCTCTTCTTAAACTGCACCACAGCTTTCCAATCCCATGTTTGCAAAATTTAAAATAAATAAATAAATATAATAACATTGGGCAACAAATAACATTAGAAACAGGAAGCATTATATGAACAACACTTCTAATGGCCACATCAACTGACTGTTCTAAGGGCTAAAAGATACTGTGCTAAAAACCAGATGCAGAAATGCAGATTTAAATTCTTCAACTTTTATAAACTATTCTGTCATTTTCACCCTTCCCATTTTGCTAGGGACAGGAGAGGCCCAGAGTTGATGGGTACCCCCTTGTAACCACTGGGAACTTTATGTTTTCTGGACTTCTAAGAACACTCACCACCTTCCTTTCGGGGCCAAAAAGACTAGAAATATGCAAAAAAAAGTCCAAAGCAGAATTCCAAAGAAGGAAGGAAGGAAGGAAGGAAGGAAGGAAGGAAGGAAGGAAGGAAGGAAGGAAGGAAGGAAGGAAGGAAAAGAAAGAAAAGAAGCAAATATTATTCTAATTTGTACATTTTAATCTAATTGCACCATCTATATTCTCTCCCTATTCCTGTTTAAGAACATCCTGAGAAAATGGGCCCATAATCCAAACGACATTTGCCTTCATGCGGTAGGCGCTAATGTGGTGACTTTTAAGACAGAGAGTTATATCAAAAGCAGTTATCAAAAAACATATTAGCTAAACATCCCTCCTCTAATGGAAACCTGATCACACTAGTTAGGATGAAATTAAAATAGGATAAAATAAAATAAAAGGCAAATTAAGAAAAGAAAGTAGAAATAGGCATTACGATGTGTGCACGATGGCATTTAACGTTCATCAGCTGAAATTGGGGAGAGAAAGCTTTCCCTAATGTGATTCCACAATATCTGTCTGCAAGCAAGAGGTGATTTTGAAGTAAAATTAAAAATATTAATGATTGCTTTTTTTAAAAAAAAGACTCATTGCAGGAGAGTGGAGAAAAGCCAGAGGGTCCGGTTTTATCTCACACCTCGCTAATGGCAACAGAAACACCTTTATGATGTATCAGCAATCTGGAAATACGGAGTGGTTCAAGGGCAGCTTCGAAGCAGAACTGACTATGGAAATGGAGCAATTTGCATCACTGGGCTATGTGTTAGTTCTGGAGAGCAGCAATCATACCTGCCAGTCTTGGAACCCCATGTCATTTTCTCCATAAGCCAACATCCCATGCTTAGCAAATTCTGCCTTATCACTGGCTCCCCTCCATTGGACCTAAGTAGAGTAGGTATTAACAAGGGTTGTGCCTCATGTATAAATCAAGAAAAGGTTTTGTGGTCCCCCAAACAATACAAATGTAGGAATAGGTGATACCGCCTCATGTATAAATCAAGAAAAGGCTTTGTGGTCCCCCCCAAACAATATAAATGTAGGAATAGGTGATACTTTCACTGGACCCCCCCAAAGTAGAACAAAACAAAAAACATCTTCCTCAGGCTGTGCACCAGGCAGGCTCCCATGGGTAGCTCTTGGTCCCCAAGAGCGGCCAACAGAACTTGGTGCACAGCCTGAAGAAGACGAATGATCGAAAGCTTGCTGTTTGGTTTTTGATCTGTTTTGTTTTTTGGTCCACTAAAGGTATCACATGTTTCTGCAGTTGCATTTCTCATGTACAGAGTTCTTGAGAACCTCCACAAAAAGAAGAAGGACACAACTCTTGTGGAGAAGGAGTTATGAATGTCGAGATACACCTTTCCTGAAACATCACAATTTGACCACCGGGCGAGTCTTAGATGTCTAGAGAGCTTCCATCAGTTAAGGCTTCAGTGACATCAATTTCTGGCAGTCATTGCTTTCACTGTTTTTTGAAACACACCATCCCATGCTATTGAGCTACAGTACTGTAAAATCCTCTCAAAATAGATACCTAATTTTAAACCCGCTTGCAACACTTCTGTTGCTAAGAACTGCCTCACAGTATCTCACAAAATTCAGGGAAAGGTGATATCTGCCAGGTTACTAGGTTCAAACCTGCACATTAGAGCAGAGGCGCCTGGACCAGGTCTTTTGGTACAGAATTTTTGCAAGAATCCGACTCCAAAGTAGAGAAATTTGTTTAGTTTGCTTTTTTGATACAAATGTGCTCAACTTCCATTTTCTGAACCCATGCATGACGTGAAATGCAATTCTACTAAGATCTTTGTGCTTTTCCAAATCTTCTGCTGAAGTTCTCTGATTTATATATAAAAAGATGTGTGCTGGGGAAACGTCTACACACACAAAAAATGCATACTTATGAAAAATGCTTGCAAAGGTGCAGACATTTGGAAAAAAATGCGTACGAATTTTTGAGCTGACTTTTTAAGAAGCCTGCAAACTGAGATGGACATGGGACAAAAGTGAAGTTAAGAGTGGGAAAATGAAAAGCTAAAAGATACTGAAATTACAAGATATACCCACCCTTATTTCTCCGATTGGTTGGGAAAGCTATTTTCCTGCTCTACAGCTTCCAGAATTCCAGCCTAATTCTGAGAGATGTGATGCAGAAATATATTTTTTCCAAGGCATCTTTACAAGGTCCATAGGAGGCTGCACCGACTCTGCAGTGATGGGGTCATGAGATCTGGGTTCTTGGTCTCAATAAAGATAGAACGTGAGGGTCTACATTGAAAAATCTGCTTCCCAGCAAAGATATGCCTTCTCTTCTAAGCAGAAGAGATGTAGGCTCTGTTGGAGAAGTACTGACAGCTGGAAATGACAAGGTGGCTTTTTTCCCCCAGAAAGAGTCCGGTTGAATGCCGAATTGTGCCTGGATTCGTCATGTGAAACAATCTTTTGTGAAATGCCAACAGGAAGTACACTTCATGCTTGCTGCCGGAACACTGTGACCTCTGACACCTTCCATGCCAAGGGTGCAAGCAGCGCCTAAGCAAGTGCACTCAAAATATACGGGATCATCATCTGCTATCAAGTCAATTCTGACTTACAGCAACCCTATTCAGGATTTTCAAGGTACTGTAGTGAATATACAGGAGTGGTTTCCTCTTTCCTGCTTCTGGGGGTAGCCCTGGGACTACTGTGCAGCTTGCCCAAGGCCACCCAGGCTGGCTGTTCTTCCTGAAAGCCCAGTGGGGAATCAAACTCCCAACCTCAGGCTCTGCAGGTATTATAAGGGAATATCATGGTTCCTGAACTGCTTGATCTCCACAGAAGAACCTCAGCCTCAAAGCTTATAAACCCAGGAATTCAACACACAGAGCATTTCAACGGCCTGTATCCACAGCGATGGTAGATCTCTCTCCCGCTTCCTCACCATTCCAATATTTACACGTCGTCAATAACAAATGCCCGATGACCTTTCTGCTATTAAACAATTTGGTTTTGTTTATGCATAGCTAATTGCTCCAAAACGGAATGAGTCAGTGCAAATTGCATTACCCAGCGAAGGTTCGAGCAAGCAAGCAAAACAATGGCTTTTGGGGGAGCCCACCAGAAGGAGTGGAGGGTAAAAGTAAAATTATCAAGGAAATTGTATTAGCAATTCATTAGCCATACCAGGCTGCTGGAAGGCGAGCACATGGACTCTGTACTGTTGTGGAAGAAAGACAAAGCAACGGGACAGAAAGCAGTTCTCACTCTATTTGCATGCCAGGAATAAACCCTTTAGGAATCAGCTTGGAAGGAACAGGGACTGAAGCCAACGACTTCCAACATAAAGGCCAAGTTTGGCTGAATCTTGAATGTGAGTAACTACAGGAAGGTATTCAAATGCCAAACTTGCTTCAAGGTTGAGGCCTTTGGTCCAGGTAGCTGGCAGGAGGGAGCTCAAATGTGAGGCAAATTTGGAAAGGGGAACACACGTGAAGGGGGGAAAAAAACCCTCAGGGAGCAAAACAGAGATTCCGGTAAGAATATTAAGATCTGTCCTGAGAATCTGACGGGAATGATCTGTGTTTCTTCGTGGCATGAAACATTTTTTTAAAAAAATGCTTTTATTCCTGGTTGAATCTGGCATTACGGACTTGAAGACTGTGAGAAAAGCTGAGCAGCTGGATCAGAGCAGACATCCACCCCATCCAGACTGTGGAAGAGTCACATTTTTGACGACATCTTCTGGAATCTGCAGCCTGCACTTTAGTGGCAGAGATCACAAAAGGGGTTGGAAACCCAACCTTTCCAGGAACAGTTGTTTTCAGATGATGCGAAAGGGTATTTCACCAAAACATGAGGCAGGAAACGTCCTGAGAGTAAGACCTATTCAACAGAGTTGTTCAACTATCTCCAAAGGCGGTAGAATCCTGTTTCTTGGAGGCTTTTAAGCAAAGCTTAGACAGTTACGCCAGGGATACTGTAGCAGTAGACCTTCTCCACTGGCCGTGGGTTGGACTAAAAATGGGCTCTAACTCTAGAATTCTGTGGCGTTGTGGAAAAGAGTAATTTTTCTAAGCTCGGATTTAGTCCTGCCTTCTGCTCTCTGGCTGGAAAACCAGATATTCCAATGGAAACACAGAAGGCATCTGTCAAGTTAGTACTGCTCTCCAGCAGTAACTGTTCCTGAGTCTGGATCCATGTCAACCCCTTATATCTAGCAGTTGACGCTACGCATAGCTCTGCCTTCAGCTTCCTCTCTGAATTTGTCAAATTATCTTATAAAGC